GGGAGAAAACCGGATAATCCGTTCCTATTAGAACAGATTATCCGGTTTTCAATGCATCTCTATGGGAAAACGCGTATCACTTAGCGATGTTTTCCCATAGCAATGTTTTTTTTGGAATCAATTAACCTCGCTATGCGAGGCACCACTGTATTTATAATTTGTTTTATTTTTAGTATTCAGTTGTGTTTACAAGTAATTCATAAAATGTGGGCACGCCTAGACTAATGTGACACAGGGGACATATAAAATGGCTGGTCAGGAAAACATTCACAGCATCTTAAAGAGACAGGATTCAAAGCCAAACAAACTGGCTTTGTATGCAAGCATTCAGGAAGGAACATAAACAGTTCTAAATCAGAAAGGGATATGATTATTCATTCCATATCCCTGCCTGTAAAATTGCTGTGAACACAGTTTCCTTAACTCCCCCCCCCATGGTTTCAGCCATCAGTCTCATTAGGACGATTTCTCTCTTCGACTTCCCGCCCTTTTCTCTAACTGTCTCACTGTCTTCGATCACGGACTGTTTAGGCTTTGCTTCTTGGATTGCAGACTGTACTTTATTTATTAGCTATGGGCTTCGGTCATTCCGTACCCGGTTCTTTGAGTTACTGCTTTTTTCTTCTATTTTTCTGCTTTATGTCCAATTTGGGCCCCTTCAGAAGGTGTGCCTCATGTACCCGCAACCCCCCTTTTTCTGATGGTCATGAGTGCTGCCTCTTTCTTGCAGGCACTGTAAGAACTTAACCAAGCCTGCCCTCAGAACTAGACAACAGAGACTTAAATTGTTTTTGTGGGACAAGACACTCGGTGTCGAAACCTGACGCTATGGAGACTGCCTCAAATCCCTCTGCTACTCCCCATCGTGAGGATGTTACTGCCTCCACGCCACCTGTTCAGGTTTCGAAAACTGCGGTAAAACCTTCCAAAAAAAAGTCAGTCCCTTCAGGCGCTAAGAGATCACTTACCTCCACAGCATCTGGGTCTCAAAAACATGACCTGAAAAAGAAAAAATACAGGCTAAGGACAAGCTCGACAGTTGACTAAAAACGATCAGCACCGAGATAATTCCTCGTGTCTCTGCCTCACTCCCATCGTCTATTTTGGAAGACTCATCTCGGGATCGTGATTCTCCCATGGAGACCGCCAAACTTCTACCACATCAACAGGCACTGGCTTCAATCTCCATGCCGAGCTTCTCGCCTTCACCTAGCCAGCTAGAGGACATCATCCACTCTAGCGCGGCCTCTGTCCATTATAGCCCTGTTCCAACCGGGCAGGGGTTAAATACTCGTCCATCTCCTACAATCTCATTGGGGCAAGATTCTCCATCCTGTAAGAAAATTTTGAAGAGGAAACATATTTCTCCTGATCGTCGTTGACATTCTCGCCAGGAGGTGGTGATCCTGCCACATTCTTCTCGGCATTGATTGAAGTCCTCGACCGACGACCCTATCTATGTTACTGTCGACTGAAAGTGGTCTCGGCGTCAACATTGAGAGGAGGAGGACTCTTCGGACTTCCTTTCTGATGGTGGATCACAGACATAGAAAGATTCGCTATGTCTATGCTTTGACGACATCCTCTTCATCTGCTTCTCCACCAAGGCATCGACATTGGCACTCCCTGACCCTGAGACTGTGGTCTATCGACGATCTAAATGTTGCAACGTCGATAAAAAGTATAAGAGATACCTTAACAATACATCTACTCTTCCATCAGAGGCTACTAAACAGAAGGATGCTCCACAAATGTCTCAACAGCCTACCAAACTTGCGGTCCACAGACAAAAATCTGGCCGAACACCTCCATCTCTTCCCCCATCTGAACAAAATGAACCCCTTTCACCACTACCATCTGACCAGGAGGACAAATTCTTTTCGGAGGACTCTGAAGAGATACCTGTGGATGGCAGGATGCCAGAATCTGATGCCGGGGATCCACATCCGTCATCCCCTTCTGAGGATTTCTCCTCATACACTCACATGGTCTCCAGGATGGCCAAATGTCTTAAGTTGCTGCTCCATCTACACTCTCTAGGTGGATTGTTTTTACCATTTCTTTGGCATATCAGCTAGTGGGTAAGGAGCCTCCAGCTGGGCTTAAAGCTCATTCCACTAGGGCTATGGCTACGTCCACAGTGCTGTTGTGAGGAGTGGATGTTCCAGAAATTTGCAGCGCAGCAGCAACTTGGTCTATTGTGTCCACCTTTGTCATGCATTATCAGTTAGACCTCAGGGCCAAGAAGTAAACCAGTTTCGGGAGAGCTGTCCTGACATCTGTGTTGGAGTGATGCCCCTCCTTCTGGTAAGTGAGCTAATTAGGCACCCAGTTGTGTGCATTCACAGAGGCCACGAAGAAGAAAGAGAGCTTACTTATCTGTAACCATGGTTCAAGTGGTCCTCTGTGGATTCACACATACCCGCCCAGCCTCCCCGCTACCGTCATTCTTGCTTGCTAAAAATCTTGCCTAGTTATTGGGGGATAAAAATGGAACGGAGGGTTGAGGCAGGTGGAGCATGTACTGTAGGGGTAATTTGCAACTAATTTTCTCTCTAAAAGCTCTAGAAGAATCCAAGGAGTACTGTGCAGGAGTAGTTTAACCCAGTTGTGTGAATTCACAGAGGACCACTTGAAGAACCATGGTTACAGGTAAGTAACCTCTTTTTCTGTATAAATTTGTCAGACAACAAAATAACATATTCCACGGTTTATATTCATAGATGTATTTTTGCACTGGATCATCAATCAATGCATTCCCACTAATAATTAATTGCTGAGATTGTTCACAGTTGAACCCATCAACCAGTGGATCATTTTCAAAGACTATCACAGGAAAGTAAGCATTTTTATATATGAATATGTCTGATTGCAAAACTGTGTTCTCTGCGGTTTATACTCATGTATTACATTTTTACACTGGGTCTTCATTTCTCCGTTCTCAAAAATATTTCATTGATGATGATGAACCCTTCAAGCAGAGAATCATTTTCAAAGACACGGACATTAAAGTAAGTACGTATTATGTAAGCATTTCTCAGATGGCAAAATTGTATTTTCTGCTACACATATACATATATTTTATAACTGCAATTGATGTCCACTCAATGCGTTCCCACTAATACTACATCGATGAGGTTGTTCACAGCTGAACCCTTCAAGCAGTGAATCATTTTCAAAGAGAGTCAGAGGAAGTAAGCAATCTCTCTGTTTGTACTTATCAGATTGCAAAACTGAATTTTCCGCTGTTTGTATTCATATATCATGTTATTACACTTGATGTCTACTCAATGTGTTCTCACAAATATTTAAATGATGAGGTCGTTCACAACTGAATACCTCAGGCAGTAGATCATTTTCAAAGACCATCACGGACAAGTAAGCATTTATCCTTTATGTATTCTTCTGATTGCACTGAATCTCGACCAAATCTGATCCCACTAATAATTTATTGATTAGGTTTTTTAACACTCAGACCCACCAAGCAGTGGATCATTTTCAAAGACAGTCACAGGAAGTAAGCTTTTTCTCTCTTTGTGTTTCTCAGATTGTAAAATTGCATTGTACGCTGTTTGTATTCATGTATCATGTTATAGTACTTAATGTCTACTCAATGTGTTCTCACAAATACTCATTTGATGAGGTAGTTCACAAATGAATCCTTCAAGCAGCGGATCATTTTAAAAGAACATCAAAGGAAAGTAAGAAATTATCCTTTATGTATTTGTCTGATAGCACTGGATCACAACCAAAACGGTTCCCACTAATAATTTATTCATTAGGTTTTCCACAGTTGAACCCTCCAAGCAGTGGATCATTTTCAAAGAAAGTCAAAGGAAGTAAGTTTTTACTCTGTTTGCATTTCTCAGATTGAAAACTCTATTCTCCCCTGTTTATATTCATGTATCTTGTTGTTTCACTAGATGCCTACTCAATACGTTCTCACAAATACTTATTTGCTCAGGTCGTTCAAAACTGAATCCTTCAAGCAGTGGCTTATTTTCAAAGACCATCACGGGCAAGTAAATATTTACCCTTTATGTATTCGTCTGATTATACTGGATCTCCACCAAATCGATTTCCACTAATAAATTATTCATTACGTTTTCCACAGTTGAACCCTCCAAGCAGTGGATCATTTTCAAAGAAAGTCAAAGGAAGTAAGTTTTTTCTCTGTTTGCATTTTTCAGATTGAAAACTCTATTCTCCCCTGTTTATATTCATGTATCTTGTTGTTTCACTAGATGCCTACTCAATACGTTCTCACAAATACTTCTTTGATGAGGTAGTTTACAACTGAATCCTTCAAGCAGCGGATCCTTTTCAAAAACCATCACAGGTAAGTAAGTATTTATCCTTTATGAATTTGTCTGACAGCAGTGAATCACCACCAAATCAGTTCCCACTAATAATTTCTTCATTAGTTTTTCCACAGTTCAACCCTCCAAGCAGTGGAACATTTTCAAAGAAATTCACAGGAAGTAAGCTTTTTCTCTCTTTATGTTTCTCAGATTGTAAAATTGTATTGTCCGCTGTTTGTATTCATGTATCATGTTATTGTAATTGATGTCTACTCAATAGGTCCTCAGAAATACTTATTTGATGAGGTCGTTCACAACTGAATCTTTCAAGCAATGGATCCTTTTCAAAGACCATCACAGGCAAGTAAGCATTTATCCTTTATGTATTCATCTGATTGTACTGGATCTCCACCAAATCGATTTCCACTAATAAATTATTCATTACGTTTTCTAGAGTTGAACCCTCCAAGCAGTGGATCATTTTCAAATGCAGTCACAGGAAGTAAACTTTTTCTCTCTTTGTGTTTCTCAGATTGTAAAATTGCATTGTCCGCTGTTTGTATTCATGTATCATGTTATTGTAATTGATGTCTACTCAATGTGTTCTCACAAATACTTATTTGATGAGGTAGTTCACACCTGAATCCATCAAGCACCGGATCCATCCAAGCAGTGGATCATTTTCAAATGCAGTCACAGGAAGTAAACTTTTTCTCTCTTTGTGTTTCTCAGATTGTAAAATTGCATTGTCCGCTGTTTGTATTCATGTATCATGTTATTGTAATTGATGTCTACTCAATGTGTTCTCACAAATACTTATTTGATGAGGTAGTTCACACCTGAATCCATCAAGCACCGGATCCATTTCAAAGACCATCACAGGCAAGTAAGCATTTATGCTTTATGTATTTGTCTGATAGCACTGGATCCCCACCAAATCAGTTTCCACTAATAATTTATTCATTAGGTTTTCCACAGTTGAACCCTCCATACAATGGATGATTTTCAAAGAAAGTCACAGGAAGCAAGCTTTTTCTATCTTTGTGTTTCTCAGATTGAAAACTGCATTCTGCTCTGTTTATATTCATTTAACATCTTGTTGCACTTGATGCCTACTCAATACGTCCTCACAAATACTTATTTGTTCTGATCGTTCACAACTGAATCCTTCAAGCATTGGATCATTTTCAAAGACTGTCACGGGCAAGTAAATATTTACTCTTTATGTAATCATCTGACTATACTGGATCTCCACCAAATCGATTTCCTCTTATAAATTATTCATTACTTTTTCCATAGTTGAACCCTTGAAGCAGTGGATCATTTTCAAAGACAGTCACAGGAAGTAAGCTTTTTCTATCTTGTGTTTCTCAGATTGTAAAATTGCATTCTCCTCTGTTTATATTCATGTATCATGTCATTGTACTTGAGGTCTACTCAATGGGTTCTCAAAAATACTTATTTGATGAGGTAGTTCACAACTGAATCCTTCAAGCAGCGGATCATTTTCAAAGACCATCACAGGCAAGTAAGCATTTATCCTTTATGTATATGTCTGATCGCACTGGATCTCCACAAAATCGGTTCCTACTAATAATTTATTCATTAATTTTTCCACAGTTGAATCCTCCAAGCAAAGGATCATTTTCAAGGAAAGTCACAGGAAGTAAGCTTTTTCTGTTTGCATTTGTCAGATTGGAAAACTGCATTCTCCTCTGTTTATATTCATGTAACATGTTGCTGCTCTTGATGCCTACTCAATACTTCCTCACAAATAATTTTTTGCTCAGGTCGTTCACAACTGAATCATTAAAGCAGGAAGTAAGCTTTTTCTGTTTGCATTTGTCAGATTGCAAAACTGCATTCTTCTCTTTTTATATTCATGTATCCTGTTGCACATGGTGCCTACTCAATAAGTTCTCAGAAATACTTATTTCCTCAGGTAGTTCCCTACTGAATCATTCAAGCAGCGGATCCTTTTCAAAGACCATCACAGGCAAGTAAGCATTTATCCTT